AAACTAGGTATTATTATTTGCCCATAAAGATATCTTACAATTTCTGAAAACCTACTGAGTTCCTGTTCTCAGCAGCACCTTGAAGCCATGGGGTCTATAAAATAAAATAATTTTTACCCTTTTCATTTTAAATTTATTGGCTTTGAATGCTTTGGCTGAGATAGTGTCTTTGGGCACACAAAAAGAAAAAGCCCATGATTTAATTTCTCTGCACTGTTTGTTCATTTGTACAAGTGTCTCCAAATCATCTCCTCTTCAAATTTGACCAGTCTTTCTGTTTACCAAAAGACTTTCTTTGTCTGAAAATATTGTCATTGCCTTTCTAAAGGCCTCATTTCCTTACTCATTCAGGATCTACCCAGAGACAAGGATAAACAGCATGACACACACACGGCCAAGCAATGATATCCTGATTTGCCAGCACTTAATTCCAAGTTGGCTAAGCTCATTTTGAGGCTCCCCAGCAATGTTTGTTTGTTTTAACAGATATATTTAATAGGTTGCTACAAAGGGAGTCAGTGCAGTGCTTGGATATCTTCTGGGCTGCCTTGCCTAGACACACCAACCAAGCATTATGCAGAACATCAAGTCTGTGCCATGGCCTAACATATCTAATGTACCAGCAACAGGAACAGAATATGAAACTGTCAAGTGCCCCAATAACTATAATGCATTACAGCCTACAATAAAAAATAAAATCATCAGGAACTAAGCTCCTGGTGAGGAATCTGTAACACCACTTTCCATAGCATTTAATTAAAATAATAAAAAAGAGCAAACAAGTGAGGGCGACCTGTGAAGCCTGAGATGAGCCTTGCTTCCCACCCACTCACACACAGGGGGTCTGAAAATCACTGGAACATTCCTCAGGTCGATGAGCTCATGTATTGTATCGACAGGGATCACCAATAAATACTGATACTGCTTCATTGGAATTCAGTGCTCATTTATAGATGCAGCCGTTTCTATTCACAACATGGCACTGTGATTAACCCTTTCACTGAAGCTGTAATTCCAATTAATGTGAATTGGCTGGACATAGAGCAGGCAGATAATAAGTTCTACTACAGTAACAGCATACCTTGGTTGGGAAAACCAAGCACATCTTTCATCTTTGTTTAACTTTGAAGGGGTTACATTACAGTTGCTCCTATTACACCCCTGCTATTGAAGCGCCACTGAAAATTAAATGCCACCAGCAGAGCTACTGAAATATGCCCTAAAGTTTACAGGCAAACTACAGAAGCTTATAAAGTGCCAGGGGACTTCTGTGGTTTAATTATATAGGCCCTGTTCCATAAATCACTGGAATGGAATAAATACAAATAGCATTCCCTGCTTTGTGACCTCTTTGGGTTAATGAAATGCACACAAACACCTACAGTCTGCTAGGTCTGCTACGGCTCAGGAATTCCACAGTACAAACACAACCTTGCTGGAAGCTGACGTCAGGATTCAAGCCTTGGTACATACATGAGAACCAGCTGCTTGGACTCAGCAAGGAAATAATTTGTTGTTTATGTGCTACTGCTGCCCTAAGCTGGGACAGTGGGAGTTGTCTGTGATTTATTGAACAGGGAGAAAGAGTCTGAGATTTTGTTGTTCAGGCTTTGATTAGCAAATCTGCCTTTCTTATCCGAAGGGGTGTGTGAGGTAAGAGAATTTGAGGAGTTGCATGAATCAAAAATAATACACCTTTGGGAAATGTGAGATCTTGAATCTACTGCTGCTGCTCTACCTAGTGTCACTTACCTCCATCCTCTGGACCTACCGGGAAATAAAGACTTGAGTGAAGAAGACAGAGCAAAAGGAGCATTTAGGGGGGGAATCCACACTTGATTAGTCATTCTTTTGCATGCCATTTTTTAATATTGCCATGACATGAAGAATTTGATCCTACTGGAGACAAACTACTGAGAAGCCAGCCAGCTCTTGTTCATGGGGGCAGTATGCCATTTTCTCACATGGTCTTTACTTTCTCCAAGCACACCATCTCTCCTATGACAAAAGAACTGCTAGTTGTACTGTCTGGACATGGCATCCAACAGACATCTCCAGGAGGCTGCTGAAGTTTAACACTACAGATGTGAGCACAGGCAGTCTTAGAGCTCAGAGCACTGCACCATCTCAACAGAGAACTGGTTTTAGGATTCAAGAACAGCACCTTAAAACCTAGACAGTTATCCCCCTTCCCAAACAGCCAGGTTTATTTTCTGGCTGTCATTTGTCTCAGCCCAGAAATGTCCTGAAGCCAAGTAATACAACAGTTTTGGTGACATCTCCCTCATTTTAGTAATGATTCTAGGTGCTGTCTTATATTACCTTATATTACCTCACTTGCTTTATTTGGTGAGGGTTTTTTTCTGAGGCTCTGGAGTTGCAGAACATCCTGTTACAGAAAGAAACAATACTGCAGCAATCCCCACTGGCACACAGCAGTAGGTTTGCAGAAACAGAACTGCTCTAGGTCTTGCTTGTACAGTCCACTGAACACCTCCAAAAGCCTCATACTTCTCATAAGAGAGATGCACCCCGAGGGAATCAGAGGGAGGCAGGTATGATTTTAAGTGCCAGTTGTGTTTGTCACTGAGAAGGAGAAAGTTCTCCCACTGACCTGTAAACCTGGGCTGTTGACACTTGAATCAATGTAAAGTTGGAGCTTAACAGCTTGGCAAGTCTAATGTCACACCTCAGCTCTCAATCCAACTGTGTTAGCTGGAAGGCAACATGGAAGAGAAACAGCATCTCTGAAGCCAGAACCCAACCTCAGATCACCAAACTAGATCAATAAAGGTACCAGACTGACAGAAGACAGAGTGTTATTGCTACTCATCTGAGCTGTTCACATAAATGGCACTTCATACACACAAGAATGAGCTGCTGCTCAAAAAGGATTCCAATTTACATAAAGTCAAGATGATGACATACAGACAAGCTAGAGGATAGCAGAGACAGTAAGGACATACATCTCACAGTGAAGTAAGGATGAAACTTTGATGGTTACATAAGATTTTACTGCTGTGGCATATATCACTGGTAGCATAAAAAAGGTGAAGTACAAGGCCAGATGCCTGAGGTACTATGCATATATAGTCTCTTCACTCCTGACTTTGATATATAAGTGGGAGACCAGATGTCAAACCTTCTAAAGTACTTTTTTAAAAGAAGAAAGCATCTTTACTTCCCTCATAAGAAATGCCCTGTCACATTGCTGGGGAGAGGTGATTTTTCCAGCCTAATCACTGAGAAAGAGCAAATGCTGGCAGGATGAGAACCATGAACCCACAGAAGCAGGTGCAGGGACCTACCTTAAAAAGCAGGCAGTCCCCTTGGTGCTCAGCATAAATGGAGGTGAGTCGATACTGGCTCTCAGTGGTGATGTCGATCTGGTACCCTGTCAGTGTGTAGCACACCTTGCGGAACTCCTGGATCTTGGTCTGGAAAACTTCTTTCAGACGCTGGTTTTTTAGTTCTGCACTTTCCACTTGCTTCTTCAGCTCTATGGGGGGAAAGAAAATGGGTACTTTTTGTATATGTATTCTTTTGCATGCCATTTTTTAATATTGCCATGACATGAAGAATTTGATCCTACTGGGGACAAACTACTGAGAAGCCAGCCAGCTCTTGTTCATGGGGGCAGTATGCCATTTTCTCACATGGTCTTTACTTTCTCCAAGCACACCATCTCTCCTATGACAAAAGAACTGCTAGTTGTACTGTCTGGACATGGCATCCAACAGACATCTCCAGGAGGCTGCTGAAGTTTAACACTACAGATGTGAGCACAGGCAGTCTTAGAGCTCAGAGCACTGCACCATCTCAACAGAGAACTGGTTTTAGGATTCAAGAACAGCACCTTAAAACCTAGACAGTTATCCCCCTTCCCAAACAGCCAGGTTTATTTTCTGGCTGTCATTTGTCTCAGCCCAGAAATGTCCTGAAGCCAAGTAATACAACAGTTTTGGTGACATCTCCCTCATTTTAGTAATGATTCTAGGTGCTGTCTTATATTACCTTATATTACCTCACTTGCTTTATTTGGTGAGGGTTTTTTTCTGAGGCTCTGGAGTTGCAGAACATCCTGTTACAGAAAGAAACAATACTGCAGCAATCCCCACTGGCACACAGCAGTAGGTTTGCAGAAACAGAACTGCTCTAGGTCTTGCTTGTACAGTCCACTGAACACCTCCAAAAGCCTCATACTTCTCATAAGAGAGATGCACCCCGAGGGAATCAGAGGGAGGCAGGTATGATTTTAAGTGCCAGTTGTGTTTGTCACTGAGAAGGAGAAAGTTCTCCCACTGACCTGTAAACCTGGGCTGTTGACACTTGAATCAATGTAAAGTTGGAGCTTAACAGCTTGGCAAGTCTAATGTCACACCTCAGCTCTCAATCCAACTGTGTTAGCTGGAAGGCAACATGGAAGAGAAACAGCATCTCTGAAGCCAGAACCCAACCTCAGATCACCAAACTAGATCAATAAAGGTACCAGACTGACAGAAGACAGAGTGTTATTGCTACTCATCTGAGCTGTTCACATAAATGGCACTTCATACACACAAGAATGAGCTGCTGCTCAAAAAGGATTCCAATTTACATAAAGTCAAGATGATGACATACAGACAAGCTAGAGGATAGCAGAGACAGTAAGGACATACATCTCACAGTGAAGTAAGGATGAAACTTTGATGGTTACATAAGATTTTATTGCTGTGGCATATATCACTGGTAGTATAAAAAAGGTGAAGTACAAGGCCAGATGCCTGAGGTACTATGCATATATAGTCTCTTCACTCCTGACTTTGATATATAAGTGGGAGACCAGATGTCAAACCTTCTAAAGTACTTTTTTAAAAGAAGAAAGCATCTTTACTTCCCTCATAAGAAATGCCCTGTCACATTGCTGGGGAGAGGTGATTTTTCCAGCCTAATCACTGAGAAAGAGCAAATGCTGGCAGGATGAGAACCATGAACCCACAGAAGCAGGTGCAGGGACCTACCTTAAAAAGCAGGCAGTCCCCTTGGTGCTCAGCATAAATGGAGGTGAGTCGATACTGGCTCTCAGTGGTGATGTCGATCTGGTACCCTGTCAGTGTGTAGCACACCTTGCGGAACTCCTGGATCTTGGTCTGGAAAACTTCTTTCAGACGCTGGTTTTTTAGTTCTGCACTTTCCACTTGCTTCTTCAGCTCTATGGGGGGAAAGAAAATGGGTACTTTTTGTATATGTCATCAGCACAGAGCCCTTGCACCCTATGTACATTGCTAGCCAAACTAAGTGCATTGAAAAGGTTAATTAAATTTTTTAAAAGTGAATTAAGCAGGCAGAGTAAAGAAACAGGCAAGCTACATTGCTCTCCTTCTGGTCCCAGAAGACCTAAAGATAATAAACTGGGGAATAAGGGAAACAGACTTGTCTTGGTGGGATGGATTTTTCTTCTGCTCAGCCAGCCTTTTAACAACGTGCTACAAAATTCAAAGCCACAGCATCCGTTTCCCCAAACACACATATCTTATTTTCCACATGGAGCCCAAGAGAAGGGTGTTACACTACAGGAAGCAAGAAAGTGGAAAAATAAAAAGAAGTACACCTCTGTGTGGTTGCACCAGGAGGTAGTTGCCTATAATGTAAATCTCCAACATACTCTTGATTTGCTTGTAAGTGCTTTGATCTCAAACTGACATACTGCTTAGGATTCCCTTAAGACTTGGGAAGGGGCTTTATTGTGATAAAAAGCCTGAAGAGTACCACTGCCTCTTTGCATTTGCTACCTTAAGTGGACTAGTCTCTAGAAGAGAGGTCCTGTGAGACTGCCTGCCACTCACCCTGCATTTTATTGCTACAAAGGGAGCCGCCAGCACTGTGAATCCTTCAAGAGGATACACAACAATTACCATGAATCTTTCACCCAAGGTGTCTTCTGAGTAATTAAACCTCAATTTATCCCCCCATTAATTACTGAGATCAGCTTTACTTTAATATACACAAGAGATGTCTACAAAGTCAGCCTGTTTTATCAACATCGCAGTCCAGGGTTAGAAAAAAACCCTGACTCTTTCTAACAGCAAACAAACAGACTTTCTCATTCAGATAACTCTTTGTCATTCTGAAGTTTAAGGCTTGGTCTGTGCTGTGATCAGACACATAAGTGCAGCACATTAGGCCATATGTCTTTATTTTAGCTAGTTCAGAGTCAAGAACTAGGATAGCAGACACTTCAGCAAGGTGACTGCTTGAGTATGAAGGAAGATTTTTGGCTGGGCTTACACAGCCCATGCTAAAGTATTTTTGTTTCCCAAGCAGGCTGTGGAAGTTTTGCTCAAGTATTTGCCAAAAAGTGTTTCCATCAACCTCCCAGGCAAGTGCAGGAAGAGTGGGATGGTAACTGCAAGGCCATGAACTTGCCTGTGATTTACCTCTGAGCAGCTGCAAGTGCACCAGAAGAAGGCAAGTCTCCTCTTATCCTCTGTTTTGCTTTAGCTAGGTTCTCCAGGTAGGACAAAAGGATAATGCAGTGTGTTAAGTTAAAGTGCCACGGACGATACCCCTTCTTAGAAGTCCTTTGGCCTTAATCTGATTCAGCTTAATCCCCAGACAAGGACAGGAACTCTTTAATGGTTAAAGAGAACTACATATCCCTTTACTACTGAGTGAGAGCGTCCATGCGGGGAGAGTTAATGCTGGCCAAGCCCTTACCTTCAGTTAATTCAGTTCCACCTTCCTGAGCTGCCTGTGGAGATGATGTATGAGCAAAGTATTACCTTTACTCTGGGTCTTCCCCAGCTTTATCTCATTTTTCTGTATGGAGCAAACCAGTCTTGGGGAACATCACATACCTGTTCGTTCATTAAAACATTGCTATACAGGGAATCCCCCAATTGCTAAAGGATAGAAGGTAAATAGACTATCCAAACACTGCTCAGAAGCCTGAAGGGTTGTGGGTCTCACACTGCCCCTTCTCATGAGCTTGAAAAAGCTGTCTTTCCTGACCACTCACTCTCCCATTCATGTCAAACTCATCACTGCATCATTAACTCAATCCTCCCTTGGATTATTACAACCTTTTCCCCATCATCTCAGCTGGGTCTGGTCTTTATATTAATTGAGTAATCAGCCTCTGAAATTAGGAAGTTAATTGGCAGCTCTGACCTCAATATTCTCACAGTCTTCATTCAGCTATGCAACTGTTAAGGACAAAATCCTATATATGAAAGCAAAAACTGAGTGACCACATTGCAGTGGTAAATAACATTTTGCCACTGTCAGAGACACACTGCCTTTAATATATTGCACACAACCAACAGCAGTATTTTTTTTTCCCCCTAATAAATGCAGCCTGGCCTTGGAAAAGTAAATCTGCCTTTTCCTACTGTGTCTCAGAGGCTGCCTTTCCTGGCTTTTATAACCTTGGGGGTGGATGGCACTCTAATTCATTAACTCCTTGAACAGCTTTTCTTATTCATGAAGAGTTAGTGCCTTTTCTGGTGCTTTGTCTCTCAGACTGGGCACTGCTAATGGCCATCACCAGCTTCTTCACACCCCTTGGCTTGCATCCTTATCACCCACCAGCACTGGCCTAGTTAGGCTACAACCATGTAAAGTAAACTCAGAATAGCAACTAAGTGATAGCAACTGCTTTCCTCCACTGCCCTCAGGGTGAAAAGAGAAAAACTCTGACTACAAACAGTCTTTTATGCAAGAAACCCTGAGCCTTGCAATTCAACTGAAGGCCTAGCAAGCCTCCACTCCTGACAGCTTGCCCTGGCCTCCTCCTGCAGCTCCTCCTGGCCCTCCCTCCAGTGCCTGCGGCAGTTCTGGCGTAGCAGAAGTCAGCCCTCCTGGCTGAAAGAATTCATCTGCATGAAAAAACTTTATCTCCCTGTTAGAGATGCCTTGTGTCAGCCCCTGGCACAAGGTGCTGAACTCAGTAACTGCTAATGTAGACACAGCCAGATGTGCCAGCACTAGCTAGGTACAGGATAAAGCCTTGTTATCCCCTCTGTGGCTCCATCAACAAATCCCCAACAGTGTTTCTTCAGTGGCACAGGTTGGGAACAGGGTAGAAAAACCCACGGACAGAGACATGACAGGATTGCTTAAGTTTGCAACTGTCCCCAGTGAAACATCCCTTAAACCCTGACTGTAAACCAGGTTGCTCTTCCTTTATGCCTAAGTGCAGCTCTCAATAGTTCAGCTGTAACAACTGCAGATGCACAACTCCTGCAGTATTTATTCCATGGAATACTCCCAAATTAACTCAGGACAACACTCAGGACTGCAACTACTCCCCAGCTTTCTGCTGAGGGCTCTGCTGACACAACCAAGAAGTTGCATTGTGAGGAGCATTCCTGGCAGAGTAACTTGGTGAGAAGGTAATCTGAGACTTGAGAAGTGCAGGATGGGATCCCACTGCTGAAACAAAGCCATTTGAGATGCCCTAGGATATTTTGCACAGCTTCCCACCATTCTTCAGCAGTAAAAATAGTTCCTGCACATTCTGTATCACACCAGCAAGCCCCAGGTCAACATCTTTGACACTTCGAGGTGTCTAAAATGACACAGGTTGCCTGTCTGTAGGCAGTGGGTACCTACATAGCCTCTCCATGCAACATCTCTGCTCTGGCACTGCAGATTCCCTGCACCCACAGAACAGCATAGCAGCATCAGCACTGACTTGCAGACAGTACTTAATCTTTCTAATACTCCCCCCACCAAGTGAAGATGTTAAGCTAGGAGACAGCTCATTGTTTGCTCCGTGTCTGAATTCAAAGATGTGACAGTGCTAATTCTTAAGCCTCACCTAATACTGCTAATTCCCGCCAAATTTCTAGCACAGTCAGGAAAAATTGATTTAAAAGTCATCATTTCCACAGAGTGCAAATTCAGCATGTTTCAGAGCAGTGTTGGAGGCATAGCTGAAGAGGCCACTGAACAGAGTGAGAGCCTTTCAGGACGGGCCAAGGTGCATTAACAGATGATAGCATGACTGTTTCCACCCCTTTTACCAACCACCTACTGAACACTGAAAGTCTTGATTCTTTGAGATCTTTCACAACATTTGGAGAATTAGGTTTAATTATGTCTTTAAAAGGCAGTGTTTGAAAACTAGAATCCCTGTATGTATAGCCCCTGTGTGAGGTCCTGTGTTCGACTGGAAGACTCGCACAAAACAGGCAAGAGAAGTTACAGGTGTGGGAAAAGTCACACCATAAACATCCTTCATCCCAAAGAAGGGACACTGAAGCATTTCTCACTGAAGTGTTAATGAAACAAATAAGAAATGAGAAAATAAGGGTGAGATTTGGCAGATTACACCTTGATCAGGGATAATGACTGGCTGCCATTTGCCTGGAAAAATAAATGAAGGAGGAGAACAGGAAAATATATAGAACTCATAATAATCTTCTTTGTATTCAGACCAAGAGTATGTACAAGGAGTTGCCCATCCTGAAAAGTTTGATGGGGAAAAGGAAAATCTTCACTGAAAAAAATAATAAATCATGAATCTGTTACAAAATTAATATAGCCAAAAGATTAGCCTACCCCTAATGATGCTGCTTCTTGAAACACCTTGTATTTTCACACACTTAAATCTACTTCAATGAATAATTTAAATTATTTTGGATAAATAAATAAAATATGAGTTGGGCTTTTTTGGTCTTATTTTGAAAACGTCACTGCTTTTTATTCAATTAGTTTTGCACTCCTTACATCTGAAAAATGTTCACAGCTCCCTGGAAATACCACAGCTTTGGCTCCTGCTTCAGGTTCAGCTAGGTCAATCAACAGCAATAGCAAACTCTACACTAAAGAAAACCAAACCCACCCTTAACCTTTTCCCCAGGGAAAAAGGACGAAACAATGTGGCACACAGCATGCCAAAAGTGGCATGAAATTAAACATATCACTAGTCTTTTCCAGGTGAACACAAATTTGTTCTGCCCATCCCCAAAGATGCAACAAGCCATGTAGCTGCACTGATTCAGTTGTGATCCCAGCTAATAAATCTCTCTCTCAAAAAGGCCTGAGGTCCTTCCTAACTCTCCAGTAAAGGTTATTTTCCCTTAGTAACATGTTTGGGGGTCACTCATTCCAACACACACAGGATAAAGTATTTACACATGAATTCCCATCCCTGCTGACCCTGCCAGAATGCCTCAGACAGATACCATCCAGCATTGCTATGGAGAT